GCACTCTATGGTTTAAAATAAGCTTCAAGAGCTTGGAACAAACGCATAAATGGTTTTCTTAACGATATTGGTTTCAAAAAGTGTGTGTTCGAGCATGGTGTTTATGTGAAATCGGGTGCAAGCGAAGGAGTAATCATACTTTGTCTATATGTGGACGATTTGTTGATTACTGGAAGTTGTGAAAATTACATTTCAAGCTTCAAAGAAGAGCTTATGAAGGAGTTTGAAATGAGTGACCTTGGGTATGTGAAGTACTTCCTAGGCATAAAGTTCCAAAAGACAAAGTTGGGGCTGCTCATGCATCAAAGTAGGTATGCTTTGAAGATCTTAAAGAGGTGTGATATGAAGCATTGTAATGCTGCCATAACTCCAGCCGAGGCACGGTCACAACTATCCAAAAGCGAAGAAGTGCAAGATGTGGATCCGACTCAATACCGGAGATTGATTGGATCATTGCGTTATTTGTGCAATACGCGGCCAGATTTAGCATTTAGTGTCGGTATTGCTAGTAGGTTCATGGAGAGGCCAAAGGTATCACACTTGGCAGCGGTTAAGAGGATCCTTCGTTATGTGAAAGGTACTCTTGGCTGTGGAATTTTGTTTTCGGCAAGTGACACAGACAGAAGGTGCAATTTACTTGGATACACCGACTCCAATTGGTGCGGAGATAAAGATGATCGAAAGTCTACGAATGGTTATGTATTTATGTTCGGCGGAGCACCAATCTCTTGGTGTTCTAAAAAGGAGTCGGTGGTTGCTCTCTCTTCTTGCAAGGCGGAGTACATTGCAGCGTTATTGTGTGCATGCCAAGCTGTGTGGCTTGTGAACTTACTGCATGAGCTGGACAACAGCACAAGAGAAGCTGTTTTGTTGTTGGTGGACAACGTTTTAGCCATCAACCTTGCTAAGAATCCCATAACACATGAGAGGATCAAGCACATTGAGATGAGATTCCATTACTTGAGAGATTTAGTGAGTTCTGGACAATTACGTTTGAGCTACTGCAGAAGTGAAGAACAAGTCGTAGACTTGTTGACGAAAGCGGTTACGAATGATGTTTTCAAGCGACTCATTGTGAGGTTGGGCATAAAGAACATTGAACATTTGACTTAAGGTGGTGTGTTGGATGATTAGAATAAGTCAAATGCAGTGTAATTGATTTTTGTTTGTTTATTGGTTTGTACACTATAAATAGACCTAAATTGTATTATTGGATAAAAAGTGTTGTTAGATAATGTCATTCAAGATTCTCATCTCAATTTTCTCTATTCTTTCATCATCTTCCTCAATTAACCTTTCTATCACCACAATAACAACTTCCACCATTGATTCACCTTGAACAAGTTTAATCTTCTTCCAACACTAACGACATGGATCAAATGGTTTAACGAAAGTAAAGTTAAGAGATCATTATGTAACGTTTTTTAGTTCGGAAATTAAAGCGAAACTTCGTTCAAAGTTAAATGACTTAGGAACTAATTATGCCTAAAAAAATTGCTCCCTCCGTTTCTTTTATAAGTGATATTTTTAGAATAATTTTTTGTTACTTTTTAATTGTCACTTAAAGTTCAAGGTAATATTAAATGTATTTTTGTCAAAATTATACCTAAATAATTATTACATAGAGAAAAAAAAAGTAAAATAAATGTAATAAATAATTAAAAATATTATTATAAATAATTAAGGATAAATGTAATAAGTAAAATAAATAATTATTATAAATAAAATAAATGTAATAAATAATTATGGTTAAATTGTGATTAAAAAAAGTCTAAAAATAATGATTAAGATTAAACAATATCAAAATAGAACTCATTTATTTTTGGCACATATACATACAAAATCTCCAAAAACTTAACATTATTAATTTTTAAACTAATCTAAATGATTGTTATTATTATAATTTTTTTTAACATATGTTACTATCTAGTTAATATATAAAATAATTTAAAATTTATTTCTTTTATAAAAAAAAGTCAATTGATTAAGATTATATAGATATAAAAAAATGCGGCATTTTTTAAAAGAACTTTGTTAATATTCTTTTAATTATGATTTTTTTTAAATGATGACAAGAGCGTTTAGATGTATTAATTTTTATTATCAAATAAAAAAATATTAAATAAAATTAATTAAAATAATTTAATAATTTTATATTTTTAAAAACTTAAAATTAAAATATATTAATCTAAAATTAAAAAAAATTATCATACTAAAATATTTAATTTAAAGTTTTACCTCAAGCGTCAAAATGTATTAGACCGGCCCTCTCAAAATATATAATAGTCTAAAAAAAACAACAGTTCCTATTTCTTTAGTTTAATGGAAATAGTTGGGTTATAAAAAAAAGTATCTAATCTATATAATAGTCTAAAAACATTGATTGATTATTCAATAAATTTAAATTCTTTTAATAATAAAATTAAAAAATACTCTATTTTAAATAATAGTTATTTTAATTAATTTTGTAATCAAAATACAAATCTACAAACAAATGGGTCCCTAATTTCTACTTTAAAAAGTGATGATAATGGTGACATAAAAATTCCTAGTAATGATGAACCGCTGCCATAAAAACAGGTATTTGACTCTTTATGCATAAAGCACTAACAAGTGGAAATCAAAAGATACATCATAAGTGGAGACAAATATAATTGCCCTTTCAATCATATTCTTTCCATCACTACTAAGAATCTTTTAACTTGTTTTTTTCTCATCCTAAATAATAAGCACTTTTAAACAACTTCACATTTTCTCTTTACATATATCTTACTATAGCTCATAAATTCTCTCATCATATTGCTCTCTTGAGTCATTGAGGCCTAAGGGACTTAAGAGTATAACTCTTAACAAGTGAGTGTTAATATTGGTATAATAAAGAAACTTAAAACTTTTTTAATTCTCATGAAATTATGTAACTCATTTTTTGTTGATTAATTTCAATTTTAGTGAACTTCAACACTTCTGTCTCTAAATGCTCAGTTCATCAGCTGGAGACTTTAGATGAGAATGTTCCTACATCATCTTGCCTTCCGCCGCCTGAAACGCCGACAGAATCTATGGAGTTTCTTGCTAGATCATGGAGTCTTTCTGCCACGGAACTATCCAAAGCACTGCATAGCACGAATACTTCGACATCCTCGGCTATTGAGATGCAACTTCTATGCCATTCTGATCAGTTTAATGCCAAAGGTTTCACTGCCTCTAAGGATTCTGTAAGAACTTTTTTTTGTTGAAGTTTTGGTAAAGAATTTAGCTACTAGTACTTTTTTTCACAATGCAATGCAGCATGAAAATCGGAAACCATGCACTTACTACGGTCTCGTGTTCATGTTATTTTTATTGTGTTGGTTTTGAGCTTCTGATGCAAGTTATATGAGCAGTTATCTAACCAGCGTTATCCTCAGATTTTGCCAAATGAAAATAGCGAAACTAAGGTACTTAACTTACTATAACCGAGATGGTCATAAATGTAACCATAAAGTTGATCGATTCAATTATATTGTTGTAATGCTTCATCTGCAGGATTTACTTTTACTTCATCAAGCACTTTCTACGGAGTTCATTTCGAGTCAAAACTTGATGAGAAACGGGGTATTTTGCATTCGATTTGTGATTATATCATCTATTATATAATCAGATACTAGCTGAATCTGTTACTATACTACTTGGAACTTTTTTTCATTCATTTTTTACTTCACCAGCTGTATAGGAGCTTGATGAGAGGGAAGACAACAGGTAGGTGGTTGAAAGATCAGAAGGAGAGGAAAAAGCAAGAAATTAGGACTCATAATGCTCAGCTGCACGCCGCAGTATCGGTAGTTGGTGTTGCTGCTGCTGTTGCAGCGGTTGCTGCTTCAATAGCATCGTCTGAAAAGCCTAATGCCATGACTTCTGCTGCAGTTGCTTCTGCAGCTTCTTTAGTAGCTTCTCACTGCATTGAGATTGCAGAAGATATGGGAGCTGAACAGGACCAGATTGTAACCGCAGTCGACTCGGCTATTAACGCAAAGACTAACGGAGATATTATGACTCTTACAGCTGGAGCAGCCACAGGTATTATAACATTTAAAGTCAATTTATGAACCTCAAATTCTAACGCAAAACAAGAGAAAATGTAATGAAATAAACAACAGCGTTGCGAGGAGCGGCTACTCTAAAGGCACGTTTGGAGAGGGGGATTGGAGCTACTACAATTCCTCCGGTTGAGGAGAATTGTGGCGAAGCCAAAGAAGCAAGTATCTTGACAGCACTGGACTTTGTCTTTCGAGGAGGCGTACTTCTCAAACGTACAAGAAAAGGTATGTCTACCGACATGTTTGAAAAAGTGGCTTCATTGAAATTGAACAATAACTTCTAATGCAAGTAACTGTTACTTTTACTGTCCATAACAGGTATTCTTCATTGGAAGCAAGTTTCTTTCAATATTAATTCAAGTTTTCAGGTAATTGCTTGAAGAAAAGACTTCTACATTCATTAACAAATCATACGCACGAGTTCAAATAATTGCTAAATATATCGACACAATGACAACAGGTAGTAGCGAAAATGAAAAGCAAGCATATTGCAGGCACATTCACGAAAAAGAAGAAATGTAAGCCAAGTTTCCGTACGCATAACTTACTTATTTTACTCTTTTGTTACTGTAAGAAATGTTAAGGTATGGTCTAAAAATGGCAGATATAGTCACTGGAGTGTGCAGTGATATCCCAACTTGGCCCGGAAAGGAAGACAATGGCGAAAAGAGAGCATATTTTGGAATAAAAACAGCAGACAGATTAATAGAATTTGAATGTGGAAGACAAGGAGACAAACTGTTGTGGTTAGAAGGAATCCAATACATGTTGAATTGCCGCGCCAAAGTGACATACTAAAAAATATTAAAGATGACAATGTGATTGCTGTAAATACATGTTAACTTTTCTTTATCGATATGTTGATTTGACAGAACGATTATAAAATATCGCTGAAAAAATTGTAATAAATAAGCCATGCTATTGTCACTCTAATTCCTTCAGAAAATCGACATTATCAACAAATACCTGCGTGAAGTGATAAATAACCAATCAGTGAAATAAACAGCGTGTGACGTATAAAGTTTAACACAATAATACATCACATACGTACGAACAGAATGAAAAAATTCGTACCAATTTCCAACCATCAGGGTCTAAGCAAACGACAATCTTGGTGTTGATACCTGGTAAGGGTCCAGGTTCACGGATAACCTTCCCTCCGTATAACTTGATTGCTTCTGCAGTCTTATAGACATCATTCGTGCCTATTGCAATCTGTTCAAACACAAAAGGAGTCACACTCTTATAATGGCTTGCATTATGATTCATGTAGGAGCGTGTGAAAATCATAAAATCCTCTTCACATGATAGAAATAGAACAGAATTTACCTGTGTATAACCATTTCCTTTGTCGTAATTAGTGACGCCGTAGTTATATGTCAGTTCTAGAACTGGACTATTAGCTTCAGGACCGTATCCCAACACGGCTACTGTGTTCTGGAAAACAATCACAAGTTATGTTATCAGAATCGCGATCCAGGTCATGGAATCGCACGATCTTGCAATCTCAATCACCTCAACCGATCTGAATCACCTCCAATGACGAAAGAACAATCATGACTTTATTATGTAGCAATTAAAAACACCAATCAAAACAGTAATGTCCAGAACCGATAGCTATGCATCTTATCAATAGCCACAAGTAGTTGTTACTTGTTACCTTATCCTCAGGGTTGTCGATCTTGCGGAGAAGTTTCATGCCAACAGCCTTCAAAATCAACAAAGACAAGAAAAACATTTAGCTACTTATGTAACCATCACAATAAGTACAGGAAATACACTCACTTTTTCATAGAAGGCTATGACACGATCAAGATCGCCTACTCGAAGCATCACTTGGCACAATGGTTCACGAGTAAGTCTTCTCTCCAAAAGCTCAAACCGATAACCACTAGGATCTTCGACGGAAGCAGTAACTATAGAGCCGCCTTTAACACGCCCCGGCTCCCTCGTAACCTTTCCCCCTTTCTCCTTTACAATATCAACTGTCTTGGCAACCTGCAGAATTGCAGTATATAAAAGGCATAATAGAACTCTTGCATTGAAGATAAACAATAATGCTTGATAATATTTTTGAAGAGCTTACATCTTGAGCTACAACACCAAAATGTCCAAAACCAGTTCCAATGTCATACTTATCTACTCCATAATCTGCAATCACCGCAAAATAACAACTACGATTACAATCAATATTGTGTAAATGATGATATTCATAACGATTTACCGAAACCAAAAGAAGTAGCATTAAGAATTCAACTTACTATAAGTAAGCTCAACCGTAAAATTGGAATCTTCAGGTCCATATCCAAGAAAAGCATTAGAATATTTATCTTCGGGTATATCGCGTTTTCTCAAAACCTTCATGCCAAGACATTCAGTGTAGAACCTATCAAATTTCACACACATACATACAAAAATATTTACATCAAGAACATGACTGAAAAGCATCAATTCAAAAATCAAACAAGTAGGAGCACTAGCATATATACTTTATAGTCTTGTCCAAATCTGCAACACTGTAAACAACATGTAGAAATCTTCTGTTATCATTTTGGACCCAATCAAACAAGTTTTGAGCAGCATTAGCTTGTGATAGTTTTGCACCGAAGAATTGGGATTGTGGTGGAAGAACTAGTAAGGAAAGGAATAACCAAATGCAGCAGCAGCACCAGAAAACTAAGTGATAAGAAAAATGAATAATAATAATAATAATGAATGAAGGTTATGTTGTGTTGTGTGTGGAGAAAGGTAGAGAGAGTAGTTTGTTACCTATAGCACCGGTGGTGAGAAGATGAAAGAGAGTGAGTCTTCGTGAAGATGAAGATGATGAGGGAATGATGCTGCAATTACAGTAAGGTCTTATTGTTGTAGCAGATGGTAACATTAAGGAAGAGATCATTGTTATGCAAATCTATGGGACACGGTAGTCACAGAACCAAATCTAGTACGATGTTGTAGTGATATGTTACTATGTTGTTATTGGCTATGGTTGTGTCCAAATTCAGGCGTCGGTTTGCAATGCTCGGAATTAACAGGCTTTCATTGGGCTGGGATGGGCTTCATTGGGAAATACTCGTCCCACTCTATGGGGTGTCCACACCTCTAAAAACTAAAAAATATCTTTATTTATTTTCATAAATGAATATTCGAACACACTTAAATTCACACTCGCCCTTATAAATCAGTCACACATTTCATTTTTGTCAAAATCTAGTTCGGAAATGCATCTTCATAAAATTTCTGGAGTGCATTTTCCGTAGATCTTTTAAAGTTATTTTAAATTATTAGAAGCGTGTTTATTGCACATCACAGAGAATATTTCAGAGATGCTTCTTCAGAAACCTTCTGAATTAATTCTAGGTATCTTTGACAATTTTTTTAGACCAACTTATATTTTTGGTTATTTTAGACCATTTTTGGGCATTTAAGAGTGTCATAAATTGATTCAAGCATATTATACCGACAATACATAATTTGTTTCGAAAATACAAAAAGTAATACAAACAAACATAAACTACTGAGTAAGTCTAACCCCCCAGTTTCTCCTCTGCATGTACTACAAGCCATTATGTGTCTTAACCATAGGGTTTTCCACGAGGGTCAACTGGGAACTGCCTACCTCAAAAATTCCAACCTCTATGCTGGATCTCGCCATATCCACAATACGCTGACAAATGACATGGTCATCCGTAGCCTTCAATATCTCCTAATTAGATAGCTTAGGTGGTCTTCTAAGAGCGTTTGATATCATAATACGATTTGATACCCTATAGAACCATGTGATTTAACCATTTGCATAAGTCCATTATACATGAACTGACACCCTGCAATATTCCTCTAGTACCATATAACTATCGAGATCCTCAAGTATGACATCAAGATCTTTGCAGCGGACGATGGGATGAGCAGAATCTGAGGGGTGTCTCGGAATAACCTACAAACATTCAAATTGGCACATCACTCGCTCGGAAAGATGCACATACATCGAATATGACCCATAAACCATCCATCCGGAGTATAATGAAATAACGTCCATCTATCGTGTCTCGCGATGACCGCTGTATGGGAAGAAGACAATGTCATCCGCTACATGACAATCAAGATACACCAGGAAGGAATCAACTTCCTAATTCCCTCTGAGCGGTGCAAAGGCGCAATCACTTGTCTAATCCTATTTAGTCAGACATATGTTGCCAGCCAAAAATGCGAGGAAAACGAGAGATGATCAATCTTTGAAAATTGTTTTGATAAAATTTTAGTAACAAGTGTAATGAATAAGTTACGAAAATATTAGTAACAATAAATTACCGTAAGCAACATGCATTTGTCAACTACTTTATCTTCCAAAAATAACCTTCGTCCAACTTCTAGTACATGTAGACCAAACAGGCGCCCCCAGTTGTACTCGTGAATCACTGTCAAGTCATTGAAGTATTTAAGATAGACCACATTGACGTAAGTTGCACTTTTGTCCACAAACATGGAAGTGCAAACGAGGAACAAGATGTAACACCTCAATGCACACTGCTGATGGTACTCAACTTGCATATCATCACCGACGACATCCACAACTATCTGTAGGCGGTCTTTATAAAGGTCTTCCAAGAGTTTAAATCTAGCAGGAGCATCTCTAGTGTCAGTTACCTCAATTGCAGCTTCAATTGGGTCAGTTCCCAAATAGATGACCATCACCTCGGTGGCTTCGTCTAGAATGATCTTTCAATGGTCCAATAATTTTTTCCTGATGGGAAGATGTAAGAAGCATGAGACGTCATCCAAAGTGATGGTCATCTCGCCAAGATAAAGGTGTAAATATGACGTCTCTGAATGTCATCTCTCTGCAAATTCCGCCTGCATCTCATGGTTTAGAACAATGTACACAACAACACATAATCCGACAAGCTCATAGTTGTAGAGAATATTCTTGAACCAATCATCTTCGGGTTATTCAAGTTCCAAAATTTATCCTTCTGTGGTTTACGTATTTTAAACATGGACGTTCTTGTAAAAATAAATATATCGCTACCACTTCAATTAGATTAATATAAAATAGATGTACTGGAAAATTAAATAAATATAATTTTCCTTCCTAGACATGCCTAGTAGCATGGTCTCCATAAAGATAAAGTAAAAGGTGTCAAATGAGACTCGTGGATAATCATCTACAATGGCATCAACATTAGCCGAGGGTTCCTCATGATTGGATTCATAAGCTTTAGGGGCCTCTCGTGAAGTAGTTACTTGAGATAGACAACTTCGGCTAGTAGAAGCATATAGTTATGAACCTCAAACTTTAAACCATCAAATGAGGTAGCATCGAATCGTGGCCCTACCCCTATCCCTCTCATATTGTACAAACATGTGTTGGGACACATAATGAGAATCATTATGTCCTTGTTGTTTTCCATCCATTCTATATGTAATAAAACAAGAAAATTACATCAAAATGCATTCAGATCAAATCCAGAGATACATTTCCTAAAACTAGTTAAGACAAAATCAGGAAACACATCTTCGGATAAACTCGCGAGTTGAAAAAATAGCAGAAACCCCATTAATGCCCTAAAATCCAACCAAATGGGAATGCATGTCTATTCCATCCACCTATTTCAAATATATTAATATTACTATCTAATGCATCTTAAACGACCCATGTTACCTAATACATTCATCAAATCTCAAAAAAAGAAATTAAATGAGAAACTTACCAAATTAAATGTTGTGGATGAAAAGTTTGAATGGAATGAGTGACTTTGCGGCAAATGGAGTAGAACTAACTTGATGAAGTAATGTTAAACCTTGTAAAATGAACTTGAAGAAATTTGCTCACGAGCTTAAATGGGGTTTTAGTAAGTTTTTAGTGAATGAAGAAGGAACGAGGAAAGGTCTGGAAAAGGTAAATGAAATAAACGTGTCAGGAGATGCATTTCCATAAAACTCCCTGAATTTTGAATTAAAGGTTTTTACAGAGAAGTATCTCCGGACTTACCCCAATGTTGATACGGAGATGCATCTCCGAACTAAATTAAAAAAAAAGGTGTCACACCAATTTGCACTAAAGAATTCGTAAAAAAATAGTGCGTCTAGAAATGCATCTTCAAATTTTAGAGGTAGTTATAAATTTTCATTATTGGGTGAGAGAGCCGTATAGGTGGGATAAGTACTTCCTTTAAATTTCAATATTTTCTTTATATATATATATATATATATATATATATATATATATATATATATATATATATATATATATATATATATATATATATATATATATATATATATATATATATATATATATATATATATATATATATATATATATATATATCAACCCTTCAAAATTCAATTGCATTAACTTTCATATTTACGCTTTCAATCATTTTTAATTACACCACTAAAAGGGCATTTATGTAATCAACTAATGTTACCATTTATTCATTCTCCTATCCAATTACAAAATACCACATGTTATGTTTTAACACTTCATACACCACCTTTGAGCGACACGTGGCAGAGTACATTCCCTCCTTTTTCTCTTTTTTTCAAATTTTCAAATTTAAATTATTATTATTATTATTATTCTTTTTTTTTTCAAATTCAATCTTATCTCAATACTACCTTCTTCTCTCTCTGTCTCTCAACCTAAAACTTAAACCCTCTCTCTCATACTGTCTCTCTCACCCTATCTTTGCCCCTCACTCTCACAATCTTAATCAACAAGAAAAATCTCTTTTTTTTAACCATTTTTCTTCCATCAATCATCTTCCTTTTATGTACCACATTCTATTCCTTTGTCTCTACCTTGCAGATCCTGCTGATGAGGATGTATGTTGCTTATGAGTTCAACTTTTTCAGGTTTTATATTGCTTTCCATTAACTATTTGTTTCTTATGATATTATTCTTCACATTCTTCTCATTATCATCTTCGTGGTTATGATTCAGGTTATGTATGTGGTTATTCATCTTATCTTCTAGGACTTGAATCTCAGGTATATCTATTTCATTTGTATCAGTATTCTGTGGTTTGTTGTTTTCTTCACTGATACGTTGATTATGTTTTTTTTTTTTCAAATTTAGATTGGACGTTCCATTCATATTACCAACACTCAGGTTCGTTTCTTCTTCCTCCGTCTCCTTTCTGATCTCAGAGTTTTTCTTCTTCTCGTCAAGGATTTTCTACTGGGTTTTTGAGGTTTTTGTGATTTTAAGAATGGCTACTACTACTGGTGTTTCATGGTGGTAATGAATCTGGTGTTTTGAGGTTTTTTAATCTTATGTTTTTCTTCCAAATAAAAAGTTACCAAATAATTGTCTTTTCTCTGAGGTATCGCATGCTCTTATGCTCTCTGAGGTGGTAATACAGTAGGGGCTGTGAACACTTGAGCATACGTGTGCAGAAGTATAGCCAATTTAGGGTCGATATTGGTTGGTAATTCCTTCAGAATATCACCTGGGACATCTTGTTTGATCAATTATATTGAAAAACACTCTTCAATTGCCCTGGTATTCTGTAGTCTTTTGAAGTGATTGAATTAGGCTTGGCTGACTTCCGTATTGCTGTCGCCTTGCAGAGTGATGAACTGACCATTTTGTAAGAATTTCAATGTTAAGGCTGCATAGTCAGCCACATGAGAACCTAATGTTGCTAACCATGTTGATTCCAAAATTATATCTGCACCCAAAATTTGTAATAAGTACACTGGTATTTTCACCTCTTGGCCTTGAATTTGCAGTGGTAACTGCTGAATGATGCGTTCTACACTTAAAATTTGTCCATTACCCACTAGAACTCAAAGCTTAGGAACTGGTTCCACTGGTAATTTCAGCACTTGAGCCACTCTAGGTTGAATGAAGTTGTCAGAACTACCTCCATCAACAAATATCTTAACTGTTATGCT